ATATATTTCATATTCTTTCATTAAAATCTATCAAACTTATTCAATAAGGAAAAATATTTTAAAAAAATGAAATAATTTTGTTACAACGAATTTATATCCAGCTACAATTGAACTTATGATTATTTTTGTAGTAATTAAACATTTTCTTTATTATATAATATATTAAATACAAATTAATATTATGGTATACATATATATATATATATATATATATATATGTGTGTGTGTGTGTGAAAAGATTAAATGTTAGTGATGTAATTTTTTATAAACTAATATACCACTCAATAACATTTAATTAAATAACTATTTTTCAAAACTCACTTTTAAATTGAAAGTTTCTTACTCTTAAATATACAAAATTTCATATTAATCTAAAATGATTTAATACATCAAAGTAATATAAAGTTACAATTGAACGATTAGATCAACAGGATTCACGTCTAATATAAAGTTATTGAATAATATAATAGTTGATAAAAGTTATATTGGTGTCATTTAATTCCTCTTTTGTATATATGTGTATATATATATATATATAAGAGGTGTCCACTTATTTCAACAACTAGTTTACATACATTTCACTCAATAAATTATGTTTTACATTAAATTTTAATGATCTAACTATTGAATTAAACATTCTTAATATATAGATCAAATTTACAAATTTTTAAAAAGTTTGAAAATTATGATACTCTATTTCATTAACTCAAATCAACTATAAAATATTTTTATAATTATTCATCAATTTTAAATTAATGAAATGAAATATCAAATAGTTTTTAATTTTTTAAAGAATTTGCAAATTTAATCCATCTAATAAATTTTTTTTAATTTAACGATTAAATCGTTAAAATTTAGTATAAAAAATGAAATATTGAATGAAACAAATTTTAAAAAAATTACTCTTAAAGTAGATCTCTTCTATATATATATATATATATATATATATATATGAGAGGAATCAAATAACAATGATATAATTTTTACTAATTATTATACCACTAAATAACTTTATAATAAAAATAAAACTTTCAAAACTCACACTTACGAGTTATACTTTAACAGTTAGATTGATAAAATTCATTTTTAATATAAAACTATTAAGAAATATAATAATTAATAAAAATTATACAAATATGATTTGATTCTTCCCCATATATATAATTTAACTAATAACTCAATGAGTGTTTAGGGTTTACACTGATTTAATTAGCTTGAATTGAAAAGTAGATGGTTGAGTTAATGGTTAAACCTGTCTAACCAATTGGTTTCCCAATAGCACTTCAACATGGTCATATATTCCATTGTAATGCATAAAGTATATGTGCATCCAACCATTTTCCATGCGATAAATTTCACACTACACGCCAACTTTAAAGACAGTATGATTTCATATAGAGGAACATTCACATTGTTCTTTATACATTATGATATTCGTGCCAAAAAAATCTACAACTCAACACAACCATCAAGATATGCCAGAAAGAATTTGTTTATTCCCCAACATTAAACATTCCTCAAGCCTGGGGCAATCCTTTGAGGACATCAACAGTGTTAATACAAATTTTGTGCCGTAATATAATTTTATATCAGCTAAAGAGCAACATGTTTTCAGGATCTTTACAACTTACAATCCGCAATATTAAAAATAGCTTTGGAGAAATATAAAAGGCATGGAATAATAAATCAAATCCTAACAAGTCAAAATGTTCACTGTTAATTACTGTCCATCCACCCCATGAACTGCCATGGTCACAATTATATTCTATACCATTGGTTTGGCTTCAAGCATTCTTGGGGATCCGAACCATTTTATGTTGATAATAGTAGAGCACAATAGAGGTTGTAATTGTATACACTCTTGGCAGATCCATCAGAGGAAAAAATTGATAACCAAGCTTTGAGATGTGTGCATGTCAAAGATTACTAACTTCTATACAAATACTTTGATAATGGGAACTTGAGGCTCCTTGCCACCTGTATATAAAAATTGAAAGCATTATTGAAATTCATTACATACACAATACCAAAGAATTAAGGGAGTGTTGGGTGAGAAAAAGATGGCACCTTCAAAGCCAGGTCTTCAGATATGGTTGATCGATACCGAGTTGAGCCTTCAATCGGACAGCTTCTTCCTTTGAATATAAAATTAGCATTGCATAGACTGGATAGCTGCAAAAGAATGTCTGACATTAGACTGCCGTTGCCACTTTGAACTCCTAATGCATTATTGTTTTGTTCGTCGTCATCAGATGAATCTTCTGCAACTGATACAAGGCACTGAAAAATGGCTAACAACCTCTCCAATGGAAAAGTTCCAGGTCCTTTCATTAGCAGTTCCTCTTCTAAAGTTTCCTTCCGTTCCAGTGCTTTCTCAGAGGGCCTGTACACGAAAAAGCACAACTCAGACAACAACTAAATAAGCAGAGCTCAATAAAGAGACAAAATGAAAGCAAAAATGATAATTAAAACTGATCAGAGTTAAGATGGCAGCAGACTTCACATGTTTTGGGGTGTTCCTTTCACATTACATATTGATCACTATCAAGTCCACCAAGGAAAAGATGGACACATGGTGATCATATGCTAATGTGAAAGGAATAAGTTTCATCAAAACGACATTCAATCAGACAATACAACAACTAAAACTCAGAATCATGTTACTTTGTTGTCAGAACAACAAAATTTGGTATTTAAGCCATCATACTTACTTCCTCTTTCGCTTTCGATTATCAGAACCACCTCTGGAATCAAAAAGTGAAGCATCAAGAGTAGCTGGGTTTCTGGAGGCAAGGAATGCTGAAATCAGAAGATACTTTGCACAAGTAGACATGTGAAAATCAAGACTGCCAAGTTCTTCTGATTGCTCTGATCTCCTGGATTTTCCCTTCAACTTTTCCTCCTTGCAGGTCTTAGCTTCAGTTGAAGCAAGAGATGAAATCTTAAATATCTCATTCAAAGCGGAGGAAATATGAGGCTTGATATGAGTTGACAGCCTCAAATTCATCTCTGAATTATGAGCAACTCCCTTTCCCTTATCACTTAAAGGTTCACAATATTTTTCATATAGTGGCTTTAAGGTAGCAGACAATTGACCAACTTGACTTGTAATTCTAAAGAAAGAATGCAGAGCTACACTGCAAAAAAAGAGACAGAAATCTTAATATATAATTAGATCTTCTAAAGCTGAAAAATGAAAGTCATGTAGGGATAAAATATCTTACTCCAGAAATGAGGAATATAGCTTCTGGTTCAATTGGTTTCTCAACAATATTTGACGAATATCACCTTCTGTGTAATCCGGAAAGTAAACGGGGACAGGCTCTACATACCCCATGTTAGAGTAAAAGGTATCTGGGGAAGTATTGCTGATAAAAATCAGACCCACCTCAGGCATCTTTAGCATATCATAGAGATTAAACAACAGGGGCAATATAGTAGAGCTCTTCTCCCACTCCCTGACAAGCTGAAAATTGTCAAACACCAAGTAGATCATATTTCCAATTTTCCCTTTTGTTGTCATCTTATTCGAGATCGAGTTCTCTGACTTCTTGAGATTGTTTACAACATTGGTCAATGCTTCCCGAAGAAAATTGACAAAATCAGATGGTCTTTCACAGCGTTTTGCATTTGAATAACCATTGGCAGCATTTTTTCTATGGAGAAGTAACTGATTTAGAATAGATTCAAACAAGATACCATGGTTATAGCATGTCCTGCAACTAGAATAAACAAGTGGCCGGTTGAGATGCCTGAATAATTGAAGAATGATACTGGTTTTTCCAGTAGAAGGACCTCCATATACAAACAAAGGAAGCATTGGTGAGTTCAAAGGTCCCAAAAGACGCATAATCTCACGAATCTGGCTACTTCTACCAGGAAAACTAGAAATTATATCATCTAGACTGATGGGATCTCCTACAACTAAAAGGTCATTGACCGTTAGAGGTTCAAGACTATTTACTTCTGCTGCAACTACGTGATTTGAAGTGGATACAGAAGATGAAGTTGAAGACCTGGTCATTCTTCTGGGGAGTTGTGGGGTTTTGTCTTTATCCATTATTTCAACTGCTGAAGATCTTTAATTTCTGATCAATGAGGGAACCATCAATTAGAAATGAATTAAAAGGATGAGGCAATATGTAGGAATGCCAATTGGTGATTGTAGTTCCGAACTAACCATACAATGGTGACCCAAAACCCAACGAAAATCATAAAAGGAAAAATGTAGCCTGACCCAAATAGAAGAATCCATATTATTATCATTTTCAGCCATACCATATTAACAATTCGTGCATCAGAATATTACAACCACCCTACCCCCTTCCTCCCAAAGAAAACAAAATCATTACAACCTTAGTGTCGTTCCTCCATTCAGTGGCATCAATTAACATAAGCATATTATCTAATCCATGAAAATCTAAGCGTAAAAAACTCGACTATAATTGCAACACTGATCACATTCATGTAAAGCATCAATGTCGGACAATAAAAAAAATTCCTAGAATGAAAAGAAAGTTTCCTTTCAAGGATAGTCTTAACGAAACAAGACAAGTTTGAGAATTCCAGTGATATCTAGTTAAACAAAAACTGAAAATACAGTGTGCAAATGACATTAAGTTGGTCCAACAACAACTGAACCACAGAATCCTTCACCCAACGGATTCCCATTTTACATACATAGATAACATTCAGATTTCCAAATAAGTAAATCTGCGAGAATCTTAAAGGAAGACTGTCATAGACAGAACACAAAGTGGACCAAGAATCAAAAAGAGAAACACAACCACTCGCATACATCATTCAACAAAACATTTTTTTGTTTTTTAAAACTACCATTCTCTCGTAATGAAACCGTCATGTGACCGCAAAATTATCAAGTTCAGACAGAGGAAAACCCAAAGAGAAGACAAAGCACAAGCAATGTGGCCAATAAAACCAAAATCTGATTTGATTCCCAATTCAAAGCTATTAATGGTTGGGAAACCAAGTAATGCAATGCAACTTATTCCAACAGAGTAATTTTCGACAAAATTTCACATTTGGTAAATTGGGCATCATTCCACTGAAGGGTAATTTCAATCACAAAGATGTTGGATTCACTTCCATTCCTAGTTATGCAGACCCACTTTCGAAAACTTGAACCTTTCATTGTTAATTACAAAAAACAAAAATGGGATTTCACATCCCAGTTGGAAAAATAAACAAAACCGACAGACCCAGATTCAAAAACAATAGCAACAATATGTATTTCACCGTTAGAGGCAGAACCGTAGAGAGTGGAGAAAAGGGTTAGAGAGAGAGGGGAGGGTACCTTATTTGTGAGATGTAAGAAGAGCAAAGAGAGAAGCAATTAAAAGAGAGAGAGAGAGAGAGAGAATGCAAAGTGGGTGTGGGTTTTGGGTTGCACAGTGAACGAACAGTGATGGCGCCAAAACCAATCGATACAACCCGGGAAAATAAGTAACCCAAATTTTCTACTTTTGCTTCTTTCTTCTTCTTTTTTTTTTCCCTCCCTAAAATCAAATTACATTTATTAATCGAGCTAACCTTCTATTTCATCCCCAAAGTATTTACTTTATCTATCTTTAAAATATGAAAATTATATAAGTAACTTTCAAATGCTAAAAATTTATTATAAGTAATCCATCAGATATTAAAAAAATATCAAATTGATCCCTAATATTAGTAAAATGTACCAACTTGAAAACCTAACTGATAAATATTTGATACTTAAGAAATTACTTATATAATTTTATTATTTTAGATGCTAAAGTGATGCTTTATCTTTTATTAATTAAAGAAATTGTGAATTGGGTGTCTTGAGTGGCACTTGCAAAATTACAATGTGCATATTCTTCATTTTTTTTAGCAAATTTAGGACAAACGTGGTTTCATCGTATATGCTTATACATGCATGTAGAATCGAACATATAATTACATTTTTAAGGAATAATTTTTTTGGTCAGTACCACATTTTTTTTAAATTATCTATTGAATAATTAATACAATTACATACTTAAACTTGAAAACAACTTATATAATAATTGATCTACAACCTTTTCCTTTCTGTCAAATAGTAGCTGGTAGGGTTGGACAAGAATTACCAATCTAGTCTAGATTTTTTCTTAGATGACTTAGTTTCGGATTTAAAAAAAATAAAAATTGTTTTTTTACTATTACTATTAGGCAGGTACGAGTAGAAGAAAAGATTTTTTTGTCGAAATTCGCATCTAATCGAACTATATAAACTAATATATTTATAAATAAAATAAAAAATAAAAAATAAAAACTCTTAGGAAGCACTTTTAAACATCTACTTACAATATTGGTATATCAAGTAAATAACTTGTGCACGTTTTGCCGTAACTATAACTTCAGCATTTGATTTAAGTATATTAACCCCGTCTTTATTGTAATAGAGAAAATTTGCAGAAAATATGTAAATATGGATCTTAGACATGGAGTTTAATTCATCAATTGCTGTCATCAGTCATTATATCTCTTTTTGTTTATTGCAGGAAAAGAGAAACACTTGAAAACTTTATGCAATGGATCTACTTTATTTTATTCTTAGATGAACATTTTGTACATTAAAATTTCCTTTATACAGATTGTGTAATTTACATAATCAATATAATATATGGACATGTAAATGTTATTTGTTGGTTTGATGATGTTACCATTTTTTTGTTGTTGTTGGTTTGATGATGTCAGCGTCGTGTCTAATAAG